ATGCACACACATACAGTATATATTTTGAAAATATTTACATGTATTTACATGTCTATATTTATATTCATATATTATAAATAAATATATTTAATATATTAACATATATTTTTCTGATATGTATACATGCATGTGTGTGTATTTATATATGCATAACAAATAGACACAGCACGCATACATATATTATGTCAACAAAAACTTTTATTTAGGATGCGATTAAATCGCGATTAATCGTTTGACAGCACTAGTATATATGCAAAATAACTGCAATTAACAACGCTGAATCGGCATTTCCAAGGATCAGCAGTCTAAAGCAGATCACATGGTTTTCGGCCCTTTTTCCTCTTCGTCACTTGGGTGGGGGTGGTTTATCTTGAAAACTGACATATTTTCACCACAACTTCCCTCTTGTCGGCCTCTGATGTGCTTTTCACATCTGTTCACTGAAAGTCTTCTTTGGAGGTGTGCGTCCCGTGAGGTACGCAGAAGCAAAGCCAAGTTTTTATGATGATGATGATGATGAAGGTGGGGTTGCCCTTCTCTCTTCTTTCTATTTGGCTCAGCTTCGGCAGTGCTGGTAAGTGTTAAATGTTAGCGCTCTTTATCTCAAGCGAACGCTGTGTTTTGCGTGCTGTTACGTTGATCAGTGGAAATTTATCTTTTCATTTATTTATTTAACATTTTATTTATTTTTCGTTTTCAGTAGTTATTTTGTCTGCTAATCGTGAAGATTAACACATTATGCGTCCTCAGAACTTTGTTTTTGTTCATAAATTATGAAATAATGTCACTAGGAATGTGCACTCTGATCACATCTTGAATATGGAAGTATGCCGGGATTTTATAAAAGGTTTTTATTATGTATTTTGAAAAAGCTTATAAAATGAAGCAAGGGATGTTTAAAAATCCAATGCGCATCTATGTAAATGTTATAATCCAGCAATCATAAAAGTCTGAAGTGAGCGCCTTGGTTAGTCAACATCTATATAAAGTTCACTTTTCACATTTCTTGTTTTCACAGTCCTTATATCTGAACTTTGATGTTGGAAACTTTGTTGCCAGGAAGTAGCCTCTTCTCATTCTGTCAAAGCTTAAACCACACAATAGGACTCCATAGTACAATTACAACTACTTAACCAAAGTTTGCAAACAGATGAAATGCACAAGTAACATTTTTCACCATATTCACATTGACTGGTGCATGTGAAACCAGCGCTACTTCTTAAATTTAGGTTGTGGCTATATGAGTTTTGCTGGTCCACTTCTCTTCTGCATCTCTGTAAATGAGGATGCTATATACATTGAACTAAACAGGGTTTAAGGTTTTATGAGCGTTTGTAGTGTTTTCTATTCTTTATTTCTTTAAAAATTATAAATTTCTTTATTTCTAGATAAAAATGTGGTTGAATGGACACTAAATCGAAGTTCTCTGATGCAACACGTTTTTGGCATCAAGATGAGATTATGCATTTTGATCAGCCAACAGTATTTTTGTCAACGTTGCACTAGAATGAATCCATTAAACCCCAAGCTAATAAAACAACACAATGTGTGTGTAGTTTAATACAGTCACACGTCTCTGTTTTAGATTATGCAGTGCTGTATTTTTATTTTTATATATATATATATTGTAACTGGTTTCACTGTAAGCATGCGGTCTGCAAATATATGTATGTGTGTGTGTATGTATATGTATATGTACTTCTGAAAAGAGAAGTAGCACTATTCTTTAGGATATGATACTAGGTGAGAAACATCACACATGCACTTGCTATTTCTCTAAAACTTGGGCACATTATTTAGGCATTAGTCTCACAAAAGCTTTTTTTTTTTTTGAATATTCATGGCTTTTTTGCTACATTTTCTGCGTATGTAATTAAAAATGATTGATTATTAAAATAAGTATTTAACAAATATTGTCTAATGATTGTCTTTAATGTTGTGTATTGATTGTCTGATAATTAAAATTTGTTTATAGTTTAAACACAAGTGAGGTCTTATCTTTTGTGCTGTATAAACATTATAAGAGCATCACCAATGCTTTGATACAATTCTAATGATGTGATGCATCAATGTATGCAATTAACTAATAACGACAAATTTACAGAGAATTTACAGCAGATAAAGAGTTTATGCACTAGTCCTATGTAGGAGAGACCTATAAAACGGACTCATGGACCATTTTGTGTAATAATAAAAAACATTTTCAGTGCAAGTAATTTTTGTAAAATACTTTTAACTGTAGCACAATATGTTGAGTTTTTTTCTTTTCCTAATTAGCTTCATTTTTTTAAAGATGCGATGAGTTTGAAAGAGCCGCAGATATGCTACATCTTGGACGCGGTACTGTTCATCTATGGGATTGTTCTCACTGTCCTGTACTGCAGAATGAAGGTACTGTATATATATATATATATATATAAATCATTTGAATAAATTGAATTTGTTTAAAACTAGTCTAAATCTCATACAACATGCCTGATTTGAGTGTATGTCATCTTTAAACTATTTGGTAAACGCTATTAGATTTAAGCTATTAATTTTATTACAAACAATATCTTTGTCTTATATATACAGGGGCTGGACAAAATAATGTGAATGCCTGGTAAATAGGCAGTATTTTTTATTAAGGCGTTTTCATTAACAGATTCATACAGCTTTGTAATGGTCTCCATTTGATCTGCAGACGTGTTGGAGGAGGGAATCGGTGTCTAACTTTTCTCTTTAAAACTGTCCACATATTACAGACAAAGAAAAGATAATCACAGTGTTTGTCTATCACTGTTGTCTACAAATGATAACCTCTATATAAATGGGTTTTCACATTATTTTGTCTACACGCACACAAACAAATTTATTTATTTTTATTTAATTAATTTATTATTTTTAGCACCATGGCAGCAGCAAGGCTATTGTATAAAAAAAAATTCAAATAAATAATTTATCATTATTTATTTTAGTAAAATTAATTATAAATTATTTATTTTCCTTTATTTATTTATAATTTTTACCACCATGACAGAAGCAAGGCTATCATTAAAAATGTAATAAATTAAAATAAAATACATTATAATTTATTTTATTAAAATAATAATTTATTTATTTATATTTTAACACCATGGCAACAGCAAGACTATTATTAAAAAAAAAAAAAATTTAAATAACTTATTTAAAAAAAGTCTAAAACACATTCAGGCGATACTCTTTTAAAATACAAAAGTGAAACATTCCTCTGAATAAAAATATTGTCTATTTACATTAAAAACAGTACAGTCTAGCGAAATATTTAGTAAAATATAAACACAAAAGCATGCATTCCGGTGAGGTTGCCATAGTAACTGACCGGGCCACGCCCCCCGGCTGACGGACGGCCAAGATTAGCAAACGAAGGCGTGAAATCTGGACCACAGTTCATTCCGGGCAAACGACTCGGATCCAGCTGCCGCAGAGGAGTTTTATTGGCCTGCAGAGAGAATAAACCATGTCAACGCATCAGGTGTGTGTGTGTGTGAGTGAGTGAGTGAGTGAGTGAGTGAGTGAGTGAGTGAGTGAGTGAGTGAGTGAGTGAGT